CAGTCATTTGGCAGGAGGCTACAGTTCACTTGAGAAAGTGATGTGGCTGCAGTGGCTGGTTGCCAGGCTTTAGAGGAGGACTTTGAAACTCAAAGTTAGGAAAGGTGAGCTGCAGTGCTCTCCAGATCATTTACTTATGGCCCCAGCTTCCCTGGGGTGCATATCAATTAGCCATAGCTATAATCTGGTGGTAACTCAGAGCGCCATCAATTGCATTAATGGATCTTTCTTTAGCCATCTCATCTACCTGTCTGGTCTGACCACCACTGAGATCTTGCATCCTTAAGCATTGTCATCTGCTCTGAAGACCCATAAAGTGATTCTCTTCCTCCTACTCCCTCCTTTTCTCCCCCTTCTTTCCCTTCCTCTCTCTTTCTCCTTCTCATCATAAACACATTTGTCCGGGGCAAGACTTCAACACTTCAACACCCTTCTGTCAAGAAAGATCCTTGCCCCAAGTATCTAGAAAAGCAGCTCCAACCAGGAGTCTCCATGCTTTTTTAAAGAAGCAGACCCCCCACCCCAGTCACCTTCCATCTCCCTCTCAGGAGGCCATCATCCCCAAAATCTCTGGAAAAGATACACATTCTTTTTGAGAGTGGTTGAGGGGTGATGTCTCTCTAGGTCCCCAATAAAGCTATGCAAGACAGAAGCAGGGGATCTCACGGCCTGTTCTTGCTATAAAAAGACCTTTTTCGGAAAAAAATAATAAAGAAAGAAATCAGCCAATCCGTCCTCAATGCCATCACCTCTTCTTGGTGATTTTTCGGGGAAGGAGTGGGCGGGTTGCCATGGCAACAGATGCAAAGAGCTTGTCTCAGTAAAGAAGGGACCTTGATATTTTTTTCTCTCTCATTCTCTCTCTCAGTTGTGTGTGTATGTGTGTGTGTGCGCGCTGCGCATGCTTGTGCCCACACCAGGAAATTTTTTTTAGAACTAAAGAAAGCCCTTCTCTTCCCTCAGCTCCCCAAATATGGAGCGATGGAAAACCACTTACTCCTGCAGGCCAGGGAGGATTCAGGATAATTCAAGAGAAAAGAGAGAGGTCATATGGGGCTCCCTTCCTCCATCTTTTTACTAGAGATTGCATGCAACACAGACTTTCACAAATGGTGAAAGGGTCAAGGGTTGGAAGGAAAGGAAGATCCTGATGGAGAGAGGTAAAGGATAGGTTGTGCAAGAGTCCAGCAAGTGATATCAGAGAGGGTAACAGAAGGTGCATTGAGGCTGGAGATGCATGCAAATTCATATTCTCCATTGGGTGCTGAAAACAAAAGACACACAGCAAACTCACACATAAACATAAACACATACATGGACAGGGAGGCACACAGAAAGTTGCAAACATAAACATATACACAAACATAGAACTACACACAACACAGGAAGTGGTAGACATTTTTTACAAAGACAGACATAGGTGCAGGCATAGGCAAATGCATAGATATGCAGAGATACAGACATACAGCTACAAAGACACATGCAAACAGACACAGAAATACAAATACAGTCACAGTCAAATGGACAGACAGGCATATGCATGTCCTCAGTCTGGCTCCCTCCTTTCAATGGCCTAAGCATCCCTAAACAGCCGTGCATAGCTGAGAATACTGCAGGCTCACCCAGTGGATTTAGCTGGGTGGCTTCTGTTCCCCCATTCACCCCTAAAGGCCCTTATTTTTTAAAGCCCCTCATTTTTAAAAGAGGATTCCACACCCAGTATGAGGCCCAATGTGGGGCTCAAACTCATGATGCTGAGATCAAGACCTGAGCTGAGATCAAGAGTTAGATGCTCAATTGACTGAGCCACCCAGGCACCCCAGCCAAAGCCCCTCTTTCAATTCACTTCTTGCCCATTTTCCCATAGCCAATGAGCTCTGATACCTCCCCCATCTCAAGCTTCCAATTCTTAGCTTGTTCTGTTCTGCTGCTGCTGCCTGCCGATTCGGTGGGAGGGAGAGTGGGGTGACTCAGCCAGGCCAAGATGACTCACACTGCCAGTATTTTTAGCAGCGGCCAGGAGCTCTCTAGCGTGCCAGCCGCCCCCCTCCTCCTGCTTGCTATTTTGGAACCGTCACTGATGATATAAATAGCTCCTCTCCCACGGCCTGAAGCTGCTGCCAAGCTATTTTTGGTTCTGCACAGTTAAATATAACTTCACGGAGGTGGGAGGCAAGGGGAGTGGGAGCTGGCCTAGGGAGAGGAGACATTGGGACATACAGAGCTTCTCAACTTGAATCAGAGTGGGCGAACTAGGATGAGCCCTTCTCTTCCCCTCCCTGTCCCTTTCTAGACCCTTCTTTCCTTCCAGAGGGCCCCCCCCCATTCTTCTGGAAAAATGCAAGGGTTCTTCTCTTGAGCTAGTTCTTCTCTCATGCCTATTTTACTCCTCCAGCTCAGAAACCTTGGGCCCCTAAGACACCCTCTCATATTCATCCTCAGAGGAGAAGTGGACAACTAACTGGGGCCTCACTCTCAGGCCTGTGTGAACTCAAGCTCTACTTTAGTGTCTAGGCAGACCATGGCCAAATTACTTTCAGTGTGATTTTTCAGAACCATGGACAGTGGTCAGTGCCCCATTCTTTCACAGGCGGCTCTGTTCAGCGGGGCTGGAGATTGGCTGGACATGATGAACAGATGGTTCTTATCATAGGAAGGAATACTAAGGTTGTCTTCCAGCCAAGGCTAAGGCAACAGTGGGTGAAGAAAACAGGAACGCTGCCCTGGATTTTCATACAAGAATGAGGTCCAAAGATCAAGGGGTTGTCCAAACAGAAGCTTGGGGGGGAGGGTGTTACATCAGGGGTCAGATAGAGATGAAAGTGGAACAGAGACATACTTCCTGAAGGAATGATTCTCTGTAATCAAGATAAATAGGGTTAGAGATAGTGGCAGACAGACATACACACCTTTTCCCTCATCTCAGTTGTGCCACTGAACACAGGATGGTTGATGGAGATAGCTCCAACCTCTGCCAAAATGGCTCAAGAGGTCAGCATGGATGCCCAGACATCCTCTTCTGAGACACCCTTCTCTTCATCTGTCTTCTGCTCCCATTCTGCCTCTCTTGCACCACATTTTCCCATGGGGATTAGTAGTTCCTTGACCCCAAATTTTGCTTCTTGGGGTCAATTTATCCTCACCATTCCTATGTGACTTTGTATGATCAGGTCAATCCCTCTCCTCCAATTTTTAAGTGGTCTCATTTTCAGCCTCTTAGTGATTTCACATAGATCCTTACTCTACCAAATAAGATTTCACATAAATATGTCCCCTAGACCACTTCCTTCTCCTTTTATGGGATTCTAGGGCAAAGAAAGGCGCCCCTCAGCCCCCGTAGAGAGTAATCATCTGTACTGAAAAGAGAAAAAAGAGAGAAGGGGAAGGGGCAGAGGTGATATGATGTGGAGACAAAACTGATGAAGAAAGGAAGAAAGTCTCAAGAGAGCAGAAGGGGGTCATTTTGGGGGAGGGGTGGCGGGGAGGGGGCGCACAAAGCTGAGATAGATCACAAGCAGACAGTGAGATTCAGAAACTAGTTGGACCGAGGGAGGAGAATGTGGAGAAATGAAGGTTGAAAGACAGAACAAGAAATCCTAGCACTGAAGATGGGGAGGGGGTTAGAGGGGGATATGGAGGACAGCCTGACGGAGTTACGGCGTCCCTGGCAGGTGCGGGGATCTCGAAGGGTCCAGCCGGCCCCCTCATTTCTTTGCTGCCTCCCCATCTTCCCTGCCAGAGACGGGGGGGAGCCCTCCGGAGCGTTGCGGAGGCAGGCAGGCCCCGCCCGCCGCCGCCGCGGCAGCCGCCGGAGGATTCCTGTCCTAATATGGAGCTGGGATTCCCCCGGCCCCGCCCCCGCCCCCGGCCCGCCGGGAGACCGAGGCTTGCAGTTGGGCGGAGGGAACTGCTCGCTTTGGGGGCTGGCAACGGGATGGGGGAAGGGATACTTAGGTGCAGACCCAGATCCTCATGGTGCCCTGGGACCCTGCCTCAGTTTCCCCTGTTAGTGGCTGCAGTTAATTAATTGACGGGGAACTGAAAATCATTGCAGACTACAGCGTTGGTGTTGGTGTTCCTATTTCTGGCTGTGGGAAAATAGAACCAAGGCCAAATTCAGCTGGTCCCTCTCCTTCAGGACCCCCTTTTCACCTCACTCTAGACTCTTAGATTTCCATGTAATGCCCCCTGCTAAATGCCAAGAACCGGGTTTCCAAAGGGTGGGGGGAGGAGATTTGTTCTTTGAAAGTGACTATGGGAATCCCAGATTGAGTAATCCCTAGAGAGAAACCCCAGCTGCGACCTCTCCTGTGGAGGCCAAGGAAGGTCCTTCCCCCACTAATGAACGTGACCTTTATCTGGCAAATAGCAAGGAGGGATTTGTAGACTACCCAGCTCCTCCCCCATTTCCTTATCTCTTTAGAAAAATCGATGTTGGAAGCAGACCCTCCCTCCTCTCTACAGACTCTCCTCCCAGGGGCTTCAGACCGCCTTAACCCTTGCCCTGTCCCTTCCCCCAGCTGAGCGCATTTGGACCCCTGGGTCCCTGCACCCCCCTTTCAGGCTTCCCTAACGCAGCGCCTGTTTTTTGGCTCAGCTGCCGCCAGGCGCGGCCCCCTCCGCAGCCTCCGTTCTCCCCCTCCTCCCGTCCCCCCTCCCGCTCTCATTCTACGTCATGGGATGACGTCGGGAGCTAGGGAGGGAGGAGGAGCGCTCCCCCCTCCCCAGCCAGTGGCTCCCGCTGCAGCTTGCTTAGCCCAGCCTCCTGCTTTCTCGCCCCCCCTTTCTCTAAAGCGAGCCCCCCACGCCTAGCAGGAGCTATATAAGGCGGAACGAGGCAGGCGACGGGGGCAGCGCAGCCGAGCGGAGCCCAGGAGAGGAGAGAGGAGAGAGAGAGAGCCTGAGCGAGAGACGGGGAAGCAAGAAGGAAGCCACCGGTGCGTCGGGACGGGAACGCAGGTGTTCGGAGCACCCGGGCTGGAGCTCTGCAGCCGCTAGTCATGTACCGCTCCACCAAGGGCGCCTCCAAGGCGCGCCGCGACCAGATCAACGCTGAGATCCGGAACCTCAAGGAGCTGCTGCCTCTGGCCGAAGCAGACAAGGTCCGGCTGTCCTACCTGCACATTATGAGTCTTGCTTGCATCTACACTCGCAAGGGCGTCTTCTTCGCTGGAGGTGAGCAAACTGGGGCCGCTGGAAACCAGAGGCAGTGGAGCTGAGGGAACCCACGGGGACTGCTGCATGTCTAGGGCAGTGTGGCGACAAGCCGGGCAGAGAAGGGAGACTTGGGGAACTCTCAGGACTTCCTACTTTTCCTCATGGACTCTATTCAGATCTCACCTTAGTTCTGGATGAGGGTAAGAGCCTGGATAGTGTCCCCGGTCCCAGACTTATGGGAGAAGGAGAGCCAGGACAGAATGGCCCTAGTTCCCACAAGCGCAGAGGCTCTCCAGAAGACCGGGGAGGGAAGCCCGGGAAGTTGCAAGGATGGAGTCCCCAAAAACCGGGCAAATGCATCCACTATTCTCTATACTGAGAGGGGGTTCCTCTGCTGACTTTGGAGCGCTGTCCACGGTGCTGACAGCCCCACCTGATTGCTAGGCGCTGCCCGCGGTGCTGAGCGCCCCGCCGGCTTTTAAGCGCTGTCCGTGGGTCTGAAATTCGGGGCCCTGACTTAGAATTCAAAGGGCTCTCTGGCTAGGGTGATCCAGCAACAGGTTCCCTGGGCAAGAGCTGTGGGCAGTGGGTCAACAGGTGTGTGCAGAGGTAGGTTCATGAGAAATTCTTCTGGATTTTCTGAAACTCAGTCCATTTATGCTTTGCCTCCCAGTTTTACTCCTGACATACCATGTCTTCTTACTCTGCAGGCACTCCTCTGGCGGGCCCCACAGGGCTTCTCTCATCTCAAGAGCTTGAAGACATAGTGGCAGCACTACCTGGATTTCTACTTGTGTTCACAGCTGAGGGCAAGCTGCTATATCTGTCTGAGAGTGTGAGCGAACATCTGGGCCATTCCATGGTGAGTGGTGAGGTTCCTCTCAGTTTGGGCTGGGGCACATAGGGGATACAATGAGATTCCCACTTTTGAGAATCTGAAAATTACTGAGGAGGGGGGTGGAACCCTGACAGATGCTATGTACCAGGGATTGCTGCCTTCACTAAATGTCATCTCATCTCTTCATCTTTCCCCAGGTGGACCTGGTTGCCCAGGGTGACAGTATCTACGACATCATTGACCCAGCTGACCACCTAACTGTGCGCCAGCAACTCACCCTGCCCTCTGCCCTGGACACTGGTAAGAACTCCTTCTCCCTCCCTCAATCAAATCTCCTTCCTGCTTCTCTGCCCCTCCCCACCTGCTCTCTCTCAACTATCCACTCTCTTATCAGTTTTTCTCTTCATTTACTTAGATCGCCTCTTCCGCTGTCGCTTCAACACCTCCAAGTCCCTCAGGCGCCAGAGTGCAGGCAACAAACTGGTGCTTATTCGAGGCCGATTCCATGCTCATCCACCTGGGGCCTACTGGGCAGGAAACCCTGTTTTCACAGCTTTCTGTGCCCCATTGGAGCCAAGACCTCGCCCTGGCCCTGGCCCTGGCCCAGCCTCACTCTTCCTGGCCATGTTCCAGAGCCGTCATGCTAAGGACCTGGCCCTACTGGACATCTCTGATAGGTAAGCCCAGAGCATTCAGACTCCAGGAGAGAGGCAAGCCAGAGATAAGGGGACCCTAGATTCTGGAGTCAGGGGCAGGGATAATGGGGTTTGAGGGGGCAGAGGACCTGGGAGGGAGTGAGATTCCTGGGTATAAAGCAAGAAAAACAGAAAGCTGACCTCACCCTTTCCACCTTCCCAGTGTCCTAATCTACCTGGGCTTTGAGCGCAGTGAACTGCTCTGTAAATCATGGTATGGACTTCTGCACCCTGAGGACCTGGCCCACGCTTCTGCTCAACACTACCGCCTGTGTGAGTGTCCAGAGAGGCTGGGGACAAGACAGGGAGCTGGGAAAGGTCATGGGAGACCCAACCAAGAAGGGCTGTGGTCAAGACTTATGCTGGGGAGATACCAGAGGCCAACAATTTTGGATACTATAGGGTTAATGTTAGGGTGAGGAGTCAGAGTGAGAATAGAATCAGAACTGGGGGACTCTAAGTGGTGAGCTGAGTGGTGCAGGTTAGGGTAGTCAGAAATAGAGATGTCATCGATACCCCTATTCAGTGGACAGGTCAGCATGGAGGGAGTTTAAGTGGTTACCTGATGGACATCCTAACTGTGCATCTCTTCTTTCCCTTCAGTGGCTGAGAGTGGAGATATTCAGGCAGAGATGGTCGTGAGATTGCAGGCCAAGCCTGGAGGCTGGGCATGGATTTATTGCCTGTTATACTCAGAAGGTCCAGAGGGCCCCATTACTGCTAATAACTACCCAATCAGGTGAGATGCAATACAGGCTTGGAGGGCAGCTGAGGCGGACATAGAAGAGATAAAAATTGGGGAACTTCTCTGGGAAAGACCTCAGACCCTGACCATCTGCCTCTTCTCTTCTCTGCAGTGACACGGAAGCCTGGAGCCTCCGCCAGCAGCTGAACTCTGAGAACACCCAGGCAGCCTATGTCCTGGGCACCCCAACCATGCTGCCCTCATTCCCTGAGAACATCCTCTCCCAAGAGCAGTGCTCCAGCCCCAACCCACTCTTCACCCCAGCCCTGGGGGCTACCAGAAGCGCCAATTTCCCTAGTGCTCCAGAGCTGGGTGCTGCCTCAACATCAGAAGAGCTACCCCAGTCTCAAAAAGAGCTTGGATTTAGTTACCTGGCATTCCCATCTGGCTCTGAGCCTCCTCTTCAAGCAGAGCTGAGCAAGGATCTTGTGTGCACCCCACCCTACACACCCCACCAGCCAGGAGGCTGTGCCTTCCTCTTTAGCCTCCATGAGCCCTTCCAGACCCACTTGTCCACTCCATCCAGCTCTCTCCAAGAACAGCTGACTCCAAGCACCGCAACCTTTTCTGATCAACTGACTCCCAGCAGTGCAACCTTCCCAGATCCACTGACTAGCCCACTTCAAGGCCAGCTGACCGAAACCTCAGCCAGAAGCTATGAAGATCAATTGACTCCCTGCACTTCTACCTTCCCAGACCAGCTGCTTCCAAGCACTACCACCTTCCCAGAGGCTCTGGGCAGCCCTGCCCATGAACAACTGACTCCTCCCAGCACAGCATTCCAAGCACACCTCAACAGCCCCAGCCAAACTTTCCCAGAGCAACTGAGCCCCAATCCCACCAAGACTTACTTCACCCAGGAGGGATGCAGTTTTCTCTATGAGAAGTTGCCCCCAAGTCCTAGCAGCCCTGGTAATGGGGACTGCACACTCCTGGCCCTAGCCCAGCTGCGGGGCCCTCTCTCTGTGGATGTCCCTCTGGTGCCCGAAGGCCTGCTTACACCTGAGGCCTCTCCAGTCAAGCAGAGTTTCTTCCACTACTCTGAGAAGGAACAGAATGAAATAGACCGCCTCATCCAGCAGATCAGCCAGTTGGCACAGGGCATGGACAGGCCCTTCTCAGCTGAGGCTGGAATGGGCGGACTGGAGCCACTTGGAGGTCTGGAGCCCCTGGACTCCAACCTGTCCCTGCCGGGGGCTGGTCCCCCTGTGCTCAGCCTGGACCTGAAACCCTGGAAATGCCAGGAGCTGGATTTCCTGGCTGATCCTGATAACATATTCCTGGAAGAGACGCCCGTGGAAGACATCTTCATGGATCTCTCTACTCCAGACCCCAATGGGGAATGGAGTTCAGGGGATCCTGAGGCAGCGGTCCCAGGAGGGGCCTCATCGCCTTGCAACAACCTGTCCCCAGAAGACCACAGCTTCCTGGAGGACCTGGCCACATATGAAACCGCCTTTGAGACAGGTGTCTCAGCATTCCCCTATGATGGGTTTACTGATGAGTTGCATCAACTCCAGAGCCAAGTTCAAGACAGCTTCCATGAAGGTGAGTCCAGCCAAAATGTTCAGGAACTTAAATCCCTGTCCTGACAACAAGATGCTGGTGGGATTAGATGAGTAAATTCCCCTTTCTGTACTTTAATTTTATTAATGAGTTAACAACACCTGCTGCCCAGGGTAGCAGTGAGGATAAGAACTAGTAAAAAAACAACAACAACAACAAAAAACAATTTAGCATAGATGTTCTGGACAAGCAGGCCTAGAAGGCAGGCTCAGGGATGTGGCATAAAGTACAAGAGAATCCTTGGGTGATGGTTTGTGCTTCTTAACCCTGTGAGGGACCTAGATCAGCCATCACCACCCATTTCATAAATGAAGAAAATCCAAGTCCCAGAGTTAAAGAAACTTGCATAAAGTCACACAGCAAATTGTTGGAAGAGGCATTAGAGTTCTATCTCAGTATTCTTGCACCCTAAAGAAAAAAAAAAGCAAGAGTGTTTTAGGAGTTTGGGAAAGAAAGAAAGTGAAACTCAGCCCCTGGCCCATTGGAGGCTTCTTGCTCATGGCTTTATCTTATCCAAAACTATAGTCATAATTTCACTCCATCTACCCAAATTGCTCCCTAATCTTGCTGATCACTCAGTCATTGGACCAACATATTTGAAGCCCATACTATGTGCCAACAGTGTGCCACGTCCTCAACCTATCTTTCCTTACTGACTGTCTTCTCTCTCTCTCTCTCTCTCTGCAGATGGAAGTGGAGGGGAACCAACGTTTTGAATAAGTCTGTGACTTAACGTCGTCAAGTATGGCATATTGTCATCAAGACGTGGAGCCGCTCTCCACCCCCCCGGGACTGTTGGGGGGATTCTGGGGGCCAAAGGGGGATATATCTGATTCCCCAAGCCCTGCAGGATTTGGCGGGGGGGAGGTGGGAGGGCAAGGGAGGGGAGCTTCTTTTTAAAATTTAGAGACTTCAAGCAATCCCAGTTTCCATTTCAATCTGTATTCACTCGTAGTGAGTTTCCTTGAATGGGATTTCAAGCGGAGAATGGGGGAGTCTCACTTCCCCACCCCCCGCGCTACCCCCATGGGCCTGGGCCAGTTCTCCACTCCTGGGGGCCAAGCCACCCCTGGGCCTTGGTGGGGGAAAGGCAGCGCCCACCTGGGCCAGCCTGTGCCCTAAGGGGCTCTTGACACCCACGTAGAATTCTCTACACACCAGTAACGGGATTTCAATTCCGATGGACTCTGCCGCCCTGGCGGCCCTTCTTGTGACTTTTGCGCCCCGCGCCTGGGGTGGGGGGCGCGAAGAGACGCTACGTTCCTTTCCGATGGAGGAAGGCAGACCTGCCGCTGTCACACGTGTGCTTGCACGAGTGCGTGTACCTGGTGCGGGACTCACCCGGCTGCCAGACTGCCTGGGCCTGCCCAGGTGGCCACTTCGTGGTGCTGCGGTGACTTTGTAGCCAACTTTATAATAAAGTCCAGTTTGCCTTTTTGGTACCACTGGTGTTGTGCACTGCTGTGAAAAGAGAAGAATGGGGGGGATCTGAGAAGGTTGGGAGGCCCAGATGGGAGCCTGCAAGTCAGGAGACAAAGTCTGGAGCCCTGGAGTTTCTTCATTCACTTACATACTCATTCATTCCTGCACTCAACACAAATGTGCATGGTGGGCCCACTCTGTGCTAGAAGCCGGAGAGTCTGGAGCCAAAACAGATGCTGCCTCTTGCCTTCAAGATGCTCTGGCATAAAAATATTTGAGGGTATTGTAATCTCCTTCCTGCTCCAGGCTTGCAGTACTCACAATGCAGGAGAGGGCAGAAGGGCCTGGGGATGGGCAAGGAATTCGACTTGGCATTTTCCTGGATGTGGGTTTGAAGTTTTAGAACATGAGTCTGTCTTCAGCCTGGTTCTTCAGGAAAGGAATTTCCCTTTGGGGCCCTGCATCTTCTCATTGGAAATGATAACCATCTGCGTTATCTCTGCATGCGGTTATCAGTGGACAAACGTCCCTTGTTCACTATAACAGAGCCTCTAGACAGGCAATATTAGCACCATTTCACTGATAAAGGAACTAAGAAGGATCTCAGGTAAAAAGTGATTTGCCCCAAGGTTGGTGAGAGGCATAGGTGGGCAACCTACCTACATCATTGGCATCTGAGTTCTGTCCCTTCCATCCCCAAAGCTGGTAAATAACTATCTCAAATTGTCCCATTCCAGATTACCTAAGAAGGTCAGGCTTGGGCTGAGGCAGGGCCATCTTCTCTTCCAGGTCTACAAGCTAGAGCAGACCCCCAATTTCTGAGCAGAATATACCTAACTGAGTTATGAGACAAAGTTTTCAAAAATGCTGTTTTCTTCCAAGCTTGAGGGCCCAATGGCCACAGGGTTTAGTGGGTGGAGGTGGGAGGATGAAAGTTAAGAAGCAGAAAGATGTGGATTCAAATCCTACCTCCAACAATTATTTGCTAAGTGAGACCCAAGCCTCAGTTTCTTCACAGGTTAAAATGGGACAAAGATGTTAATCTCTCAAAGATGATGCTAGACTTCAATTGGGTCTTTATAAACTGAAGAGCACAGACCAGACTTAAGTTATTTTTTAAAAAAAGATTTTATTATTTATTCATGAGACATACAGAGAGAGGAGAGACAGAGATATAGGCAGAGGGAAAAGTAGGCTCCTCACAGGGAGCCCGATGTGGGACTTGATCCCAGGACACGGGGATCACACCCTGAGCCAAAGGCAGACACTCAATTACTGAGCCTCCCAGGCATCCCCAGACTTAAGTTATTAAAGTGAGTTAGAAGGCACTGGTGACCACCAAATCTCAAAGAAATTTCTTTCTCAAGGAGAGGAAGGAAACTCCAACCTCCTTCCAGTGAAATATTGGACTGGACTGGACTCCAGGAGCTGAGATCATGACACTGAGAATCTCCTAAACTTCCTCTCATTCCAAATCCTCCAGCTCCAGGGCCATGCCCTTGAGAGGGTCCAACAGGAAGGAAGACATTCTAGGGAACTGTCACCCCTTTTCCACTTTGCATCGATCCTCTGCCTTCCTATACATCTGTCCTTCAACTTGGATAGAAGAGCTAAACCGTAAGGCCCAGGAGGATTCTGTCTTAGCCCCACTCCTCTGCTGGCACCATGCACAGGGCTGAGCGTATAGCAGGCACCCCAGAAATATTTGATTGAGAGGACTATCCCTGAAGATCAGCCCAAGGATTTGAGTAGAAAGTCACCAATTTTCTACCACAAAAATTTGTTTCCTGAGTTCCCCAGAAGACAAAGAGTTGTAACTCTCAGCTTCAAATCTTAAGTGAAAATAACCTTGAGACACATGCGAAGTCCCATCAAAAACCTCCCTGGTGGCCATCAAAAAGGAAAAAAAAAAACTTAGAAAGTAAGACCAAATAAATTAAATTTTTAAAAATTAAAATATATGAGAAAAAAAGAAGCACCTCACTGGTGGGTTTTGGTGGTGGTGATGGATGAGAGTAGACTGCATTTTGATAAGGAGGCACCAGGGATCACTCAGGAGGAGAAACTCCGAGGAAGTAGACAGTGGCCGGCGCCGAGGGGAAAAAAAATTAGGGAAGCCAGCTGCTCCACCTGCTGGACAGAGAAGGTTATGTTTCTGTTCCTCTCACTGGCAAGGTCCTGAGGCTCAGAGCATCATAGCCAAGAACAAATGGATAAACTAAGGCCAGGAGAGAGGAAAGGACTTGCTGGATGGTACTCCCAGAGTCACTGCAGAAGCCAGCTCTACCCTCAACCAGTTTGCTTCCCACCAATACCAACTCTGCCCTGGGAACAGAATGTAGGAGAAAGGGCTCAAGTTTTGGGGTCAAAGTCTGAGTTCAAGTGCTGACTCAAGCAGCTTCATTTTTCCATGTGGTAAATATTTACAAGACCCTCATGTGCCTGGAGCTGCTCTGGGTGCTGGGAACGTAGCAGTGCACAAGACAGACAGGGTCCCTGGGCTCACAGAGCCTATGTTCTAGTTGTAAAAAGTAAAAAAAGTAAGCAAGTAATCTGAAGAGAGTGTACAGTATGTACAATAAGGGAAAAAGCAAGGATGCTGTGATAGAGAACCACAGCTCTAGTCTAGAGGTAAACTGGCTTAGTCGGTAGAGCATTTGACTCTTGATCTCAGGTTCTGAGTGTAAAGATTACTTAATTTTTTTTAAATCTTAAAAAAATAGGAAGGTATCATTGAGTTATGACTTAAAGGGTGAGAAACAGAAATAAGAATGTTCCAGGCTAAAGGATAGTAAGAGTAGAGGTGTTTATTTTTATTATTTAAAAATTTTTAAACTTTTTTTTTCTTTTGGTTGTACTCTCAGAACCTTTATTTATTTATTTTTTTATTTATGACAGTCACAGAGAGAGAGAGAGAGAGAGAGAGAGAGAGAGAGAGAGAGAGAGGCTCCATGCACTGGGAGCCTGACGTGGGATTCGATCCCGGGTCTCCAGGATCGCACCCCGGGCCAAAGACAGGTGCCAAACCACTGCGCCACCCAGGGATCCCTAAAAAATTTTTAATTTAAGAGTAGAAGTGTTTAGATGAAAGGATGTGACCTGTTTAAGGAATAGCAAGGAAATCGGTGTGCCTGGATCAAGGTGAGCAAAAAAAGGGAAAAGATTACCAAGGACCTTTCGCCTATGGGTAGAAACTTAGACTGGATTTCATGTGCAATAGGAATCCACTAAGTACACTGAAGCAGTGGAATGACATGATATGATTACATGTTTAAGCCATCCCTCTGGCAGCTGTGTGGAGAATGTAGAAACAAATAGATGAACTAAAATTCCAGAGAAGAAAGAGCCTTTAATGTGTGAGCTGATGAGTCCATCATCTTCCCTGGAGAAAATTTTCGATTCTGGATGCAGGCTGATTAGTTTAGCCCAGGCAGAGGGAATCCATTGGGTTTTGGGTGGCCATCAGGGGCTGGTGTAATTGATTGGAAATTGGATGAGCCCCCCAAATGCATGGCCTGTTTTCCCCCATGGAATAGTTGCTAAATTCCGGGTTAGGGTGTGGGAAGACTGAGACACTGAAATGAAAGCTAAAAGACAAAAAGAATCCCCCTAGTCTTATGGTGCTAAAGAGGAAAGACCCTTATGAAGCAAAGAGCCTGCCCAAACTCGTAATTGGTCTCCCCATCAAGACAATGGCCAGATTTCAATCCTGCATGGGGAGGAATGCCAAGCCCAAACCCTCTGAGGGGCAGACTAGAATTCCCCTGATCTTTCAGAGCCGAAGAAAAATAGGCCTTTTAAACTGCAAAAGCAATTCAATGAAGGGAGAATAGTTTTTTCAACAAATGGCACAAATTAAGTATCCTTGGGGCTGGGGCAGGTGAGGGAGGGAAAAACTTTAAGCCAAGCTTCACATCTTATACAAAAATTAATTCAGGGGCATCTAGGTGGCTCAGTTGGTTAAGCTTCTGCCTTCAGCTCAGGTCATGATCCCAGGGTCCTGGGACTGGGCTCCCTGCTGGGCAGGGAGTCTGCTTCTCTCTCTCACTCGGCCCTTCCCCATGCTTGTGCTTTCTTTCTCACTCTCTCTCTCAAATAAATAAAGTCTTTAAAAAGTCTTTTAGAAAATTAACTCAAAGTGGGTCACAGATTATAATTATGTTTTACACAGTAAAACATAATTATACTCTGAATATGGTTTAAGAGGCTACATGGCCATAGTAAATATGGGATGCCTGGGTGGCCCAGCGGTTGGGCACCTGCCTTCAGCTCAGGTTGTGTCTCTGCCTCTCTC